TGGTGGCACATGCTATAATCCCAGCACTCAGGAGACTGAAGCAAGAGGATCACTGGGAGTTTGAGGCCAGCCTGAAGTGCATAGTGAAACCCTGTGTCAAAAAGAAAAGAAAACAGAAGAAAAGGAAAGAAAAGGAAAGTAAAGAAAAAGAAAAAAAGCAACCTGAGACAAAGGACTAAGCTAAGAAATTTTCTCATTTGATATTATCAGGTTTGCTAAGTATTTTTTGTTGTGTTTTTGTTTTTGTTTTTGTTTTTTCCCCTAGGCATTTTATACAAATATTTGAAAGCAATGGTTCAGAGCCAGGCATGGTGGTACCTGCCTGTAATCCCAGCACTCAGGAGGCTGAGGCAGGAGGAACATTGCTAGTTCAAGACCAGCCTGGGCTACAAAGTTAGCTCAAGGCCAGCCTGAACTGCGTAGCAAAACCCTGTCTCAAAAAGACAACAACAACAACAACAACCAAAAAAAAAAAAAAAAAAAAGAAAGCAATGGTTCAGACTTACTCTCTCTAGGGGCGGGTCCTTTGAACTGACTCCTGATGGGCAGCAGTGCCATGTTTCCAATGAGTTTGGTGTCGGGGTCCATGAGAGAAGAGTGGTAGGCCTGTAACAGTGCCAATTAAGAATACAGAAACGGAAAGAGGACAAATGTCATGGGGCAGGAAAGGACATTTCACCAAAGAAAAAAAGGGCAACCCAAGACTGACGAGGGGAGGGAGACCAAGGAGGACAACAGGGATGTGGGAGCTGCCTCTCATCAATTTTGTTTTTGTTTTCGGAGACAAAGTCTCACCATGTAGCCCAGGCTAGCCTTGAGCTCTTCCTTCTGCCTCAGGCTCCTAGGCACTGAGACGATGGGTGTGTGCCATCATGTCCATCAAGAAAAGCATTTGTTAAATTTTGAGGAATTCTGCAAGCTGGTTATTAAACATAGCCATTCTCAAAAATTAAATTTATATGAACTTTCAATTAAATATATATTAAAAACAAGGTAAGCACTCACCATTTCCCAATTTTTAAAAACTAGATTTTACTACTGTCCATGTTAAGATTATTTATACCTTTTGTATCTTCATGGCGGAAATACTCTACACTTGGGTACCACCGTGCACCTCTTCCAAGTCTACATTCAGTGACACTGCACTGGTAGCCAGTGGGAGCATTTCCACTAGAGACTGGAACACCTTATAAATCAGGACCCAAGCTTTTCAGTTCAGCCACTTCCTGGCTCGCCCCCCGCCCAGTACTGGGAATAGAACCTCGGCCAGTGGGGGCAAACCTATGGCATGCATGCTGCAGTGGGCTGTTTGTTGTCATTGAAAGCTCTAAAATGTTTGCTGTCATTGACCTAGGCCTTCAGACTGGGCTACACTCTAGCACTGTTTTTGTTTTTGAAGATAGGCTCTGTTAAATCACTAAATTGCTCAGGTTGGGCTCAAACTTGTGATTCGTCTGCCTCAGTGCTAGGATTACAGGTGAGATTATAGTGCTGAGTGCTGGGACTACAGGTGGGCAGCCCCTACCCCAAACTGGCTTTGTGTCTTTTACCAAAACATCACTTTTCTTCCTTTAGTCTCTTTTCTTTCTTTTTTTGAGACAAGGTCTCACTAAGTAGCCCAGGCTGTCCTTGAACTCACAGCACTCCTCCTGCTTCAGCCTCTCAAGTGCTGGGATTACAGGTCTGGACCACCATACCCAGCTGGATGTCTGGCTTTTTAGAACAACATGCCCATTCAAATATTCATTCATTCACCAAATGATTATCAAGCATCTTTGATGTGCATGGCACAGCAGTATAGTGATATATAAGAGCAGTATAGGGGCCAGGGATTTAGCTCAGTGGCACAGTGCCTGCCTGGCAAGCCTGAGGTCCTGAGTTCCATTCCCCATACCCACACCCACCCCCACAAAAGAGCAGTGTAGTGCTCATCCTTGAAGAACTTTCAGACTACTGGAGAAAGCAGGAATAAAATAAGTAGGCCAGGGGTGGTGGTGCACACCTGTAATCTCAGTACTCTGGAGGCTGAGGCAGAAGGACTGCTGAGGCCAGCCTGGGCTGCACAGTGAGTCAAAGCCCAGCCTGAATTACAGAGCGAGATCCTGCCTCAAAAATAAATAAATCGAAAGTAGCCACAGAGTAAGTCCAGGGTGCTCTCTGTGCAACTAGAATGACCCGAGTTTGACAGTCCTGGCTCAAAAACCTGGCTTTCTGGCTGGTACAGTATGCAACCTTGTGCAAATCGCTTCATTTCTCTGAATCTGTGTCTTCTGCAAAACGGGAACAATAACAGTACCTGCTTCATAGGGTCACTGTGAGAATGAAGTGGAATCGTTTAGGAAGTGTGTCGCTCTGGGCCTGCCTGGCACTAGTCAGGAGTCCAGTGGTAACTACGGGATTCATAAAATGTACAGCTGTACCTATAGCATGCTGCTTTTTAACGGGTAAGCCTTATTGAAAGCAGCTTCCTCCCCCATCTTCACCAGTCGCTGCCTTGTCATTCCCTGATTTCCTCCAGAGCGTTCGGCGCTATCTGAAACTACCTCCCTCATTCAGGCTTTCGTGTTATCGCCCATCTCCCCGCTGGAATGCAAGCGCCTTAGAAGCGGGGTTTGCTGGCCTTAGGCGCTGCTGTCTTGGCGATCGGCTTGCAGCAGACGCTCAGTAATGTTCGCTGAACTTAATACACGTTCCTGAGCGACTGTTCCTCGGCTGCAAAATGGAGACAACGATGGCCTAAAGCTCACGGCCTGGCTATCCGAAGTTAAGGATGGTGGGACCGTCACCGACTCCGATGAACTCACAAAGGGAGCGAGCGCACCGGAGCGACCCTGGCTGGCTACATCCACTGTCTGCGGGGTGGCCGCCGCCGTAAGGGCAAGGGAGGCGACCGGGAAGTGGGTCTGACAGGTGACGAGCAGGGGGCGGGACCTGCCCCCGAGGGCGGAGGAGGAAGTGGGGCCGACAGAAAAGAAGAAGCCGAACCCGGACCTGAGAGGCGAGAAGCGAAGAGCGCAGCCCTGGCTTCCGGCTCTGGGGAGGTCTCGGGAGCCCCGCCGGCCTCGCGGGCAGCAGAAAGGCAGGCGGAGGCCTCCTCCCTAGCGCCGGCCGCGGGCCCACTGTCCGCGCCCCGCGGGCCCCAAGGCCGACACCCCAGCCGGCCCTGATCCTACAGGAGCCGGCCCGTTCCCCCGCCTCCCCTCCTCCGGCTCCCCGCTTCTTTTCCGTCTTCGGCCAGTGTCCTCAGCCTACGCACGCCTTCCCGCCGCTCTCCCCGGTCCCAGCCTCACACCGAGGATCAAACGCTTACCGGCATTCTGGCGGGGTCGGGGTTCCAACACAGACGAGCAGGACCCGGTCCGAACGCGACCCTTCCGGGCGGGGGCTCCGGCGCAGTGGGCGGAAGTGAGTCGGAAGGGGAGGAGACGGGAGGACGCGGCCCCTCCCGCTCGCTGTCACTGCGCCCGCTGCTGCGGCTGCGCAGATCTGAAGGAGCGCCAGGGGGCGCGCGAACTCCAAGCGGAGGGCGCGAGGCTCGCGCATGCGCAACACGCGCGCAAGAGGGAATGTGATTAATCGCTTCCTTTGTTTTTTCTTAAAGGTCACCTTTTCAAGTGAACCATTCCCCGGGCTGCTTTAAATTCTACCCCACCGCGCCCCCTTGTCTTATCCTTCTTTCCTGGTTTCTCCCATAGTTTTATGATTCTTAGTTTACTTCCGGTGTTTCTCTACCGTTTCCGCATCCGTGTGTCGAAAAGGCAGAATTTGTGTCCCTTTTTTCAGTGTTTGTCAGTCATGGCACAGGGTCAGCATGAGCAAGGAGTTGAGTGGATGAATGAACCTATCCCACTGGTTTTTTAAAAATGGGCAAACTGTAGAGCACAGGAGAGCAGGGATTTGTACCTTCTTGTGCCGGCGTTCTTTGCATAATGGTTGAGGAAGAGGACACAGTCTGAATCCTACTTCCAACATGCACTAGCGTTGCAATTCCGGGCAAGTGAATTCCCTTCTCTGTGCCTGGGTTCTTACCTGAAAATGAAGACACTACCTCATTTTGTGAAGATGAAACGGACTACTCGGAAAGTACGTAGAACTTAAAAGTCTCAAAAAAAGAAAGAAAGTTGTAGAATCTACATGCCTGGAGGATATTGAGAAACTCATTACTGAAAACGCCTCATGTGAAAGGCTGAATTTATTGTTGCCTCAGTGCCATTTTCCCTGCTAGAATTTTCCAGGCTAGACTGCTCTGGATCGGATTTCTACCCCTGAGCTGGTTGTGGTGGCACACACTTGTAACCCCACATTTAGGAAGCTGAGGCTGAAGGACTGCCCTGAGTTCGAGGCCAGCCTAGGCTAGAGTGAGGAGACCCTGTCCCAAAGAACAAAATAAAGAAACCTGTTTCTACATCTGAGTTCTCATTTAGGTCTCTAGCCAAATAGCACCTAAAAGAGGCTTTCTTTTCTGTGGTACTAAGGATTGAGCCCAGGACTCAATCTTCACAGGGCTATATCTTCAGCCCTTTCTAAAAAAATTTTTTTCTTTTTCTTTCTAAATTTTGAGTAAGTTTGTCACTGACTTGTCCAAGCTAGCCTTCAGCTTGCAACCCTCCTGCCTCAGCCTCCTAGAGTGCTGGAGTTGCATGCCTGCATCATCCTATCCAGCTAGAAAAGGCCAGAATATCCCTTAGTCACTCCATTACCCTTTTCACTTCCAATTCCTCAACAGGTGAACGAACTGCTAACTAAGTCAGCCCCATCTCAGTAAGGCCTTGTCTGCCAGGAGCATTCTCTTCTGTCCATGGTGCCTGGCATCCACGGAACCTCAAACTCATCAGAATTGTGTTAGGTTCCCGTATCAGACAGTAAAGTCCATGAGGCCTGGAAGATCAGATTTTTGAAGCCCATGTTCGGAGGGAGATGCAGCCAAATCTGCTGCCTCACTTCCTTGGGGCACATGCTAGATTTTCCAGAAGCTAAACCAAAGAGGTATGGCTTAAGGAGCAACTGAAGAAGGCAAGTAAGTCCTTTGTCTTTCTTCTCCGCTTCTCAGAATCAGTAACACTGGGCCGCACGGGTGTTCCCGCCCTTTCATTCTCTGAGGCCACAGAAGTCCTCTGGGAGCTGCACACAGCCCATGCCACCCACTCCTCACGCTCTCCTTGGGTAAGTGATGGTGAGAGAGCAGCTCCCTCTGCCACCCACTCTGCAACACCTGGCTGCTTCCCTCCTGAGGGTCACCAGCATAAGCTACCCATGACTCCCTTTCCTTCTTTATTGGGAATGGGTCAAATGTGACACTGCAGGTGTACTTTTGCTGTCTAGAACAGAGTGAGGAAAGCTGAATCTGGGTGGCAGGGTTTCTGAGGGCTTAATCTGTGGGGTGGCAGATCAGGGGCCCAATGAGCAGTGGAGGCTGAGCCCTGTGTGAGGGTTAAAGGGAAGAGGTGATGTGAAGTGTTTATTAGCACAATGCCCGGCAGTGCTTACGGATTTCCTCTGCATTTTGGTGCAAGGAATGGGTAAAGTTTTAAATGCTCAGAGACTACAAACTGCATTTTAAAAACAACATAGCCTACATTTTGACACTTAGGGAAATTTACTCATTCAAAACTCTGCCTGGGCTGGGCGTGGTGGCGCACACCTGTAATTCCAGCATTCAGGAGGCTGAGGCAGAAGGATCACTGTGAGTTCAAGGCCTGCCTGGGCTACAAAGTGAGCTGAAGGCCAGCCTGTGCTGCATAGTGAAACCCTGTCTCAAAAAGGCAAAAACAAAACAAAACAACAACAAAAAACTTTGCCTGGGCTATGAATCACAAATTCTGCCTGGAAAACAATGTAATGAAAGGTTAGTGCTGCCTTTCTGTTTCTGCCCTGTATATACAGGTATCGCAAAACACAGTTATTTTAATTTTTTAATTAGACAAATAACACATTTCAATGTAGAAAAATAAAAAGATACATATAGGTAATGATCTTATCTATACCTTTCCTGATTTTTTTCCCTTTGGAGATACATTTTGTTACAATAATTTGTACCTCTCAGGAAACCCCCAAAACACAAAAATCCAACTATAAAAATAAAATTAGACTGGCCTTAGCTACACAGAACAGGTACTAACCTGTATTATATACAAATCTGTATGCATTCACTTTATCACTGAGCTACATCTGTTGTCCTCATTTGAACTTTGATTTTAATTTTTTTTTTTTTTGTTTTTCTCCGGTACCGGGAACCGAACTCACGACCTTGCGCTTGCCAGGCAAGCGCTTTGCCGCTGAGCTAAATCCCCAGCCCCTGAACTTTGATTTTTAAAATCTAAACTGATAAATCAAGTGTGGTGGCACACATCTGTAATCCCAGCACTTGGGGGGCTGGGGCAGGAAGACTGCCATGAGTTCCAGTTTGGTAGATTACATAATGACTTTAAGGCCAGACTAGCCTTCATAAAGCCTAAAAAGAAGAATGTAATTAAACTGATGCTATCAGAATCCTACTAAAGATTCCATCCCACCCCCTTTTATGGAATCAAGGCGGGCTCTGCATATGCTTCAGTGTTCTACTGCTGAGCTCCTTGTCCAAGTCTGTAAGATTCCCCTTTAGACACAGCAGCTTCACAGTAACTTAGAACCTGATCCAGGGATGCTCCAGGCAAAGAGCCAAGTACTCCTTTTTTCATTAAAATAAGCAGCTTTCTCCTACTGTCTCCTTTGAACAGAATATTCTGCCAATTTGGCCACAAGATCTTCACATATGTATGATGACATTTAGTAAATGTTTCATTCATTCTGGTCTTGAAAATATTCATCAAACATAGAGGAAGATTCATCTTCGTGCTCCTGACACAAAGGAAACAGAAAACAAGATACATTCACTTCTCCCAGCTAGACCAATAGGTGTTACAGGCTGCTCAGGTAATGCTTTATATGTAACTAATAAACCCAGGATGAGCTCCATGAAATGCTCACTGCTAACCATTAACGGTTAAGAAAGGTATGACTGATAGAATTTTTCCAGGTACACAGTAAACTGATGTGCTTGTATCTCATCAGAAGCATTCTTCCTTTGAATTTACATTGAAAATGACTCTTAGCTGATTTTGTAGTGCTCTTGTGAAGACTGTCATTAGTCACCCCGTGACACTGTGAGGGCGAGCAGCCAATTGCAAATGGATTTCACCTCCTCTTTGTACAGAGCCCCAAGCTGCAAGCCCAGCTCTTAACTCACTGATACCACCTTGACAAAAGTAGAAGGAAGTTAACGCCTCCTATTGGACACAGGTGTAAGTTTCAGACATTACCCAGAAAAGCCCAAGTAACCGCCACAATGACCAAAAACTAATTTAAGGAGTTGCCTGGATTATGAAGGAGCTGCTGAGTGCTGGCAAATATTTTCTCCCAAAGCTAATAAAAACCTTCCATCCGAAATTACCTTTGGTTCTTTAAATTCCAAGTCTTCCCCGTACTGAATGGCAAAATCGATATGCTGTAGGACGATGTCCATGCTTTCCTCATCTGACTGATCGTACGGTAAAAACCGGACCATGCTGTAGTCATCGATCTGTGAGTTGGGGATTTCAAGAAAAGTGTGTCCTGAGGTTGTGCAAAACATGTCATTTTCACCTTAGATCCTGAGTTTTATAACCACTTATACTTCTGATTAGAAAGGTATATTCTGGGGGCAGAGGTGGAAGAGAGGTTGCCAGAGATAGAACAGCAACAAATCATTACTGATTTTCTGACCTCTGACCTTCCAGAACAGTCACTGGCTAATTACTTAGAGACTGTTTCACTGATATTTTGCTGAACTTAACACCCTCTGGAATTGTCATAAAGATACAAACAGTTCTGCACTGTCCAAATTGCTTGAAATAATAAATATGTTAATTTATTAACTTATAACTACTTTTTTTTTTGCTTTTTTTTGAGACTGAGTCTTGTTTTGTAGTTTTAGCTGGCCTTGAACTTACTGTGTAGCCCAGGACGGCCTCAAACTCATGGGGATCCTCCTGCCTCAGCCTCTGGAGTGCTGGGATTACAGGTGTGCACCACCATGCCAGCCAACAATAACTGCTTCTAAATTAAACTGAGGAGGCCAAGTCAGTCCGTTCCTACCTCCATCCTCTTTACAAAACATAAAGTTGAACTGTGCCTCCCAAAAAGGTGGGCAAACTCTTCACATAACGTGGGGAAAAACAAACAAACAAACCGCCCTTCACAAACTTACCAGTCCACATACAGCTTTAGTCAATTTTTTAAACTTTTTGCTTTTTAAATCACTGGTTGAATCCTCTAACAATGAATACATGTCTGGATCTAGAAACCTTTGAAAGTGAGAAAAAAAACTAATGAATAAAAGGAAGAACAAATCTAAATTTTATTTTATTTTATTTATTTATTTATTTTTTTTGGTTTTTCTCCGGTACCGAAAACCGAACTCATGACCTTGCACTTGCCAGGCAGGCGCTTTGCCGCTGAGCTAAATCCCCAGCCCCCAAATCTAAATTTTAAACTGACACAATCCTAGTAAAACCAAACATTCATCTCGGCACCTGAGTACTGAAGGTAATGCAAAAACAGTAAACTCACTTCTCAATTTCCTTTTTAGCTTTCTTACTCAGCAGGTCCATTTTCGTCATGATGTTAACTTGTGGGATTTCTAAAGAGATCATGGCACTCAGGGCTGCCAGGATGCCAGAAATAAACTGAAGGAAGAAACAGAAAAGAGAAGATGAGTTACCTGTCACCAACAAAGTCTCCAAATAGCCTTCTACTCCTCCTTGGAAAGGAACTGGACTAAGTAAAAGAAATGCTATCAGGTGTGTTGGCGCATGCCTGTAAGCTCAGCACTCAGGAGGCTGAGGGAGGAGGATCACTGTGAGTTGAAGGCCAGCCTGGGCTACAAAGTGAGTTCAAGGCTAGCCTGAACTGCATGGCGAAACTGTGCCTCAAAAAACGACAAAGAAACAAAACGTTTGGTCTTAAGGTGCATCCATTCAGCTAGAAATGTCTCAAATTTATCTTTCTTTATGGCAAAATAGCACTCCACTGTATAAAAAAAGAGCACATCTTTATCCATTCATCAGTTGATGGACATCTGGGCTGTTTCTAAGAGTTAGCTATTATAAACTGCCACTATAAACATGGGTGTACATATACTGCTGTGGCATGATGCTTTTAATTATTTCAGAAAGATACCAAAAAGGGAAACAGCTGGGTAGAACCTCTAGGTTCAGTTTTTTGAGAAATCTCCACACTGATTTTCAGTAGTTGCACCAGTCTACACTCTCGCCAACAGCAGAGAGGTACCTTTATCCCCACAGCCCCGCCAGCATGTTATTGGTTGATTTCTTGATAACAGCCATTCTTTCTGGAGTGAGACAGAATCTCAGTGTTCTAATTTTCATCTCTCAAATGACCAGTGATGTTGAACGTTTTTTCATATATTTACATATTATTTCTACTTATTCATCTGAGAAGTGACTATTTCAGATGCCCAATTTTGGACTGGGGCTTTACATTTGGGGTGTGTGGTTTTTTTGAGTTCTTTATATATTCTAGATACTTTTCTTTTGTCTGAGGAATAGCTGGCAAAA